AAGAAACTACCGTGGCCGGTATGGACAAATTACGTACGTTATCTACACAAAACACATGCAAGTTGTGGGGATGCCTTGTTTGAAGTTAAAGCCAAGATTTTTCTGTCAATTGCTAATGAAGTGGCCCATTTTCTTAACTGATATTAGACAAACATGCCAATGTTGCCATTCCTGGCAACAGATAATTATGTTTCAATTCATCTTCAACCTTAGAAAGATTTGTGAAAGAAGAAGCCTTGGCTAAAGTGATATCAACAGCTAAGCTGGTCCAGCTAGATTTAACGAAAAGGAAAGCTACCCTTGAGGAACTGAATAACTTAAAAGAAGTAAAGAAAAGAACTAAAGCTAACATTGAGGCCCTGTTGAAGTCTGCTGACCAATTTGCAGAAGAGGCAGAGTCCACTGGGAAAGTAACTCTCATTCTAAGTCAAATGCAATGAGACGAAGCGCTAAAGAGAAAGGAAAGTTGAAGTCAATTGAGGAGGCAATAGACAAGAAACTTGAAGCTCTAAAAAACTATTTCTTGTAAGATGAAATAGCTATTCCACACACTAAAGGCAAAAATCCAAGGACTTTGTTGAAAAAGTGTACTGTTGAAAATTGTTTTGAGAACTGAATTACTTGCTTTCTGGTAGAAATTTAGTAGACTGCTATAGTTTGGTTGTGTCGCTGTAAGTTAAGAACTAATAAGCTGAAACTGAATTTTTTTAAATTCATTGTTTTCATAGTAAAGACAGTTATTTCTTCTCAGGCCACAAAGAATCTCACTGTTACCCTGAGTCTGGTAAATAAAAAAGATGGTCTGGAAAGTCTTGAATTCTGTCTGCAAAAAAGTGTACGAACCCTGAGTGCAAGGCAATACACAGAATAAGATCATGTTATAATAATTGTTTATTTACATTCAATTTACAGTAATGGATCCATGATTTACAAATACACATTCTTACCCATGTGAAAATAATTTTCCCCCTGTAAGGGAAAAACCCCATGCTTTAAAAGCCTGAGGAGATTGACAAAAATTATCATTTGTTGAGAGCATAAGATTGTATAATTCACAAGGTTTTAATGCTATATTCAGGAACCCAACAAGTCTTTAACCCATTAATGGCCGCAGCTTTTGTGGAAAACTGTGTTTTGAAGCTAGTCGAGCAGATTTCGGGTCACTGTTGTGGTTTTAAAAGCTCAAACTTACCAAAAACCCCTTGACAGCTCGTGCACTCGACGGCCTTTCGATCCAAATGCAAAATGGCGGCCTGAAAATCTCGGGCACGCGCAGA